AAAAAAGTTAATGTGTAGCATACATATAATTATATAAAAATAAGGTCTTACCTAAGGCAACGTGTGTTTAGAGGCTGACTGCTCTTTAAGCCACTTAACAAATACTCAATGTCATCAGTGAACTCTTGATTTTCACCAAATTCCACCACATCATTGAAGTGCTTCACATGCTGAACAACAGTATATAACTACCAGGGAAAAAAAAAGTCCACCTCTTTTGTAACATTCAACTAGCATTTTTAAATCTCTAGGGCTTATTGTACTGTAAAGTATATAAAATACTTCAAGGGATAGCAACAAAAAAATATAATAAAAACAATGAAAATGGTAGGGAGTTTGTGATTCAAAATTGTGAACATTAGTATACTGATACTTGTTCCAGACATTTAAAGACTAAATGTTGGGCCAGGCAAGGAAGCTCACGCCTATAATCCTAGCAGTCTAGGAGGCCAAGGCAGGAGGATCTCTTAAGCTCAGGAGTTGGAGACCAGACTGAGCAAGAACAAGACCCTGTCTCTACTAAAAGAAGAAAAATTAGTTGGGCATTGTGGAAGATACCTGTAGTCCCAGCTACACCGGATGCTAATAAGGCAGAAGGACCTCCTAAAGCCAGGAATTTAAGGTTGGTGTGAGCTAGGCTGAGGCCACAAACTCTAGCTTGGAAAACAGAGTGAGACTTCATCTCCCCAAAACAAAACAAACAAACAAACAAACAAACAAAAAAAAAAAACAACTGAATGTTACATTAAAAAAAACCTATCCACATGCAATAAAACTGTATATGGCTGCTTACTTCTTTGTCTTCTCTTCTGCATTTCAGTGCAGTAACTATTTCGTGGTAGGGCTGAGACGGTATTGTCACAGTTTTTATCACTTTGGATGGTGGTGCAGGAGCCTTAAAAACTCCATCATCTTTTTGATTTGGTTCCTTTGAAGAAAGCCTCACCTATTAATAAAGGCATGAAATTAGTTGTTCTAAATAAAGATTAAAAATAGGAATCTTTTGTCTATCTAGTAAATTCAGCTTTAAAAAAAGTAAATAAAGCTTTATAAAGGTGGAGAGGAGAAAGGCCTCTGAAAGGTCTTAAAGGATACTTTAAACTCCATGTATTAATAGGACAGACATATGTTTTACACACACACACACACACAAAACCACTCAGGAATTTCTCCTGGTTGTCTTCAAAACTGTATTTCACACAATTTGTAATTTGTCTCCAGTACCATTAGAAAGACTAAAGAACCACAACTGCAAACATAAATAGCTTTCATAAGTAGCTAGGAATGGACAATAAAACTGTAATAGAAGCAGAAGAACTTCTTGAGACCAGATTATTTGAGAACAGCCTGAGCAACACAGCCAAGACCTTGTTTCTTTAAAAAACAAAAAAAGAAAAATTAGTTGGGCTTCATGTTGCATGCCTAAACTCCCAGCTACTTAGGAGACTGAGGCGGGAGGATGGCTTGCGCCTGAGACAGTTTGAGTTTACAGTGAGCTATGATGAAACCACTGAACTCTCGCCCTGGCAAGAGTGCAAGACCCTTCGGGGGAAGGGCCCCACAAAAGATCAACAAAAGAATTTTAACAGCACAGAAATATAAAGTAGTTTAGGGCACAAACAACTATAACAAGAGCATGGCATGCAGTCCAGGAGTGTTCAACCTTTCTTCTTTTCTGCCACAAATTGGAAGAATAAGAGTTGCTTTGGGCCACACATTAAATGGAAACACTAACAAAGTTGAGGGGGCACAAAAGGTCCAAGCACACTTTTCACAATATCTAACACCACAGATAAGCAAAACCTGCCTCAAATAATCAGCAAGCAGCCCATGAGCCTTAGGTTGGGAACCCCTGGCACCACCATGGTATATAATTACACAATGATGATTTTTATACAATCAAAAGGAGTTTGATATAATCAATTTAAGAAAACTGGGAATTAACTATACATTATAATTAAAAATGCCTCTATAGGCTCGGCTCCTGTGGCTCAAGTGGCTAAGGCGCCAGCCACATACACCTAAAGTGGCGGGTTCGAATCCAGCCCGGGCCTGCCAAAACAACAATGACGGCTGCAACCAAAAAATAGCCAGGCATTGTGGTGGGCGCCTGTGGTCCCAGCTACTTGGGAGGCTGAGGTAGGAGACTCACTTGAGCCCAGGAGTTGGAAGTTGCTGTGATGCCATAGCACTCTACCCAGGGGGATAGATTGAGGCTCTGTCTCAAAAAAAAAAATAAAGTAAAATAAAATGCCTCTATCTCTATTTTTTTGTTGTTACAAAGAACTCGCTTCTTTGACAGCTCCAGATTACTGAGGCTTTACAGTTAACGTACAAATATTAGTAAGTAATTAGTACGTTAGTAAGTTACTACCAATCCTTCTAGAGAAAATTATTTACTAAAAACTTTTTTCAAATGTTTTGGATTGAAACATATTCTTGGGGCTTGGCGTCCATAGCTCAGTGAGTAGGGCGCCAGCCACATACACCAAGGTTGGCAGGTTTGAGCCCAGCCCCGGTCTGCTAAAGAACAATGACAATTGCAACAAAAAAATCGCCGGGTGTTGTGGTGGGTGCCTGTAGTCCCAGCTACTTGGGAGGCTGAGGCAAGAAAATTACTTAAGCCCAAGAGATTGAGGTTGCTGTGAGCTGCGACGCTACATCACTCTACCCAGGGCCACATAGGGAGACTCTGAGTCAAAAAAAACGAAAAAAAAAAATATATATAATTGGAATGTGAGAAGAGGTTTATCTCTGGAAAGCAAATTAAGCACTGAAAATCCCTTAAAGATTCCACGTAGGATGTAATTTACAATACAGCTCTTAACAGTTGATACAAACATCAAATAAAGACAGATTTGCTCTTAAAAACTAAAGTTCCATAAAATATTGTTCATAGGGCGAAAGAGCCAAATTTTTTTTTTTTTTTTTTGCCATTTTTGGCCAGAGCTGGGTTTGAACCCACTACCTCTGGTATGTGGGGCCAGCACCCTACTCCTTTGAGCCACAGGTGCCGCCTAAAAGCCTAATTTTTTAAGGCTTTCATTTTTACTATGGCAGCAATGAAACTTTTGCTATCTAATCCACAATCCCCACTTTTCCATGAATTAAACTAAAAACACTAAATTTCAGTGAAGATAAACTTCTAAAAAAAACAAGTCAAACATTTATAAATTATGAATTAAGACAATAACTGCTTAATTACTTTAAAACTTATTAAACACAAAATAAAGAAGAATAGGTTCACTTACTGTGACACTCTGAGGCTTTAGTACTGGTGGTCCAGGCAGTTCTTCTGAATCTGGATGGTTCCAATGTCTGGCATTATATACAGCTTTTGTAGGTGACTGGAGAAATGAGAAAAAGATCAACTGTTTCCTTCCTTACATGTCTCTTATTTTTTTTTAATTCTTTTTTTTTTTTTTAAAGTAAGGTTGGGAAAGAATAAGCTGGACATCCTTATGTGTGTCTCATTTAATAAACTAAAAATCATAAAGACAAAAATTAGGGTGGCACCTGTGGCTCGATGGGTAAGGCGCCAGCCCCATATACCAAGGATGGTGGGTTCGAACCCAGCCCTGGCCAGATTGCAACAAAAAAAATAGCTGAGCGTTGTGACAGGCACCTATAGTCCCAGCTACTCGGGAGGCTGAGGCAAGAGAATCACCTAAGCCCAGGAGTTGGAGGTTCCTGTGAGCTGTGATGCCACAGCACTGTACTGAGGGCGACAAAGTGAGACTCTGTCTCTAAAAAAAAGAAAAAGGAAAAAGGAAAAAAATTAACTGGGCATAGTGGTGCAGGCCTGTAATCCCAACTACTCAGGAGGTCGCATATCCCTTGAACGTAGGAGTTTGAGGTTTCAGTGAGCTATGACAATGCCATTGCACTCTATGGCCAGACCAACACAAAAGACTCTGTCTCCAAAAATAGACAGAAAAGATGGCACTTGAAAGTAAACCTCTTGCCAGGCTTATACTAACTTAATAACTCATATATTTAATTCAACATGTTCTTTGGCAAAACTTTATTCTTCCTACTACTGATACATCTCCCACAATCTTCCAACAATTGACATCAAGTAGATTACTACTACTTGATATCAGGTCCATGATCACTTAAGCAAAACTGTTGCAGCCATATGTACAATCATTCAAAACCTTTCAAATTTTATAAAGGTAAATAGGAGACATATACCATATATAGAAGAACCACTTCCCTACATTGACCACATATAATAGAACCTCCATATTCATAGACTGGACATGCACCACACATGCCTATCAGTACAGTAAGCCTACTTCCTTATGCTGATCACCTTTGCATGTTGACTAGTTTGTTACAGTGCCTTGGATGGTCAACTTAGAGAGGTTCTACTGTATTAGAAGACATAGCAGTGTCTAGAAGAGTACCATAAAATAACATACGTGATTTCTGCAGCAAAATACACAAATGTTCACAGTTTAAGTTAAACAAAGATGTTAAGGGCATCACCTCAATTCAGGTTATTATGTAACCAAAAAAATTTACTTAAACTGACAATAGAAGAAGAAAAAACTTTCAGTTTTCACATTCTAAATTTCAGAAATGAGAATATATTAACTGTCAGTCTGCAAGGTCAAATCCATAGGATTAAATCTATACAAAAGTAACGTTAATAAAATCTTCACTTTTGTGGCGGAACCTGTGACTCAGTGAGTAGGGCACCAGCCCCACATACTGAGGGTGGCGAGTTCAAACCCAGCCCCAGCCAAACTGCAACAAAAAATAGCTGGGCACTGTGGTAGGCACAGGTAGT